TCTTGGTAAGACGAATGAATGTTTTGTGTGTTGAGGTGGGGGGACAAAAATGACACTTGACGTATAATATTCAATAAAATGTTAGGCGCAGAAAGGCGATGACTTTCAAACTCCATATCCTTGAAGTCTTCTGCAGTTGGTAGAGGGCATAGACGGACGACGGACCAGCGAACACATCCCTTGGCGGTATTGAAATCGGCCACTCGTGGCACGCCGTCTTGACCAGGATACAATTTTTGTACGCGTCCAAAACGCCAGCAAAGTGGTGGCGTATTATCTTCTTGAAGAAGGACCATATCCCCAATGTTCAAAGAGGTGCAATTTGTCTTCCATTTGGAGCGCTGTTGCAATTCGGCGACGTATTTTCGTTGCCAGCGTGCCAAATCTATTGTATTCGTTCGTATCGTTGAAGATGATTACTATTGAGATCGTCTAGAAAAGGTGATGGTAGCGCGGTGAGAGTTCGGCCAATGCGAAAGTGTCCAGGACTTATAACTTGGAGGTCATCAGGAGAATAGGTTAGAGGACATAATGGAAATTTTTTGTATGCATCAAGTGGGCTGATTTCGGCGAGGCAGTTGTATATATTACACACTGTATTGAAAAAACATAAATCTTTGGCTTTTAATTAAAATTAAGACTCTGCCTCTGGCGGTGGTTGCTATTAGACGTGTGTTAGTTACACTAATTAAATATTCCTTTTAATAAACCGTCAACTTTAATTAACAGCGAAGTACTAGGAGTTCATATAATCAATGTGGTGTCTATCCGTGACTGTGTGTGTATCGTAGTACATTTGTTTTTTTTTTTGCGCATCAGCTGACCGCGTGTCGTCTTTTGTTCTCTGAACAACTAACCTATAGTGTACTTCTGTCACAACGAAAACTACGAACTTAAATAAAAGATCATTATGTCGATAATACGTAGATCACCCCCAGGAAGTAAAGTGCATCAAGTGTCGTCGGAAAGTCATATTTCAAACATTGAACCTTAAAATCCACTGAATTATGTAGGGAGGAGACAGAAAAAACCGAAATGAAGATCAAAGGAAAGGTATTGATGACTCCCTTAAAGATGAACTATTATCCATGCCCACCAATTGGAAGAAGGATCAAGATCTTATTTTGAGTAAATTGTGTTCAGATATTGCCGAACTTAAGCAACAAAACGCCAACATTCAGTCAACTAATATTGAAATGGAAAAGGCGTTAACGTTCATATCCACACAGTAGGAAGATATGAACACTAAAATTATCAATTTAGAACGTGAACGAAAGGAAAATTATAATTATATATTGAGTCTGGAAAATAGATTAGAAGACATGCAAAAAAGGCTTAAGTCCACAGTCATCGAGTTCCGTAATTTACCCTACTCCAGCACAAAACATAAAGCAAGAGACACAACAAGACTTATGTGATCTGGTTCAAAGGATTTGCGATGCTTTAAATGTTAATGTTCACCCATCCGAGATAAAAGATATATACAGAATTAAAACAAAAGCCGGTGTGTCTACTGTCATCACCAAATTAACTTCGGTTTTGTCAAAAAATAAGATATTAAGTGGAGCGAAAGAGTTTAATAAAATTAACATTATTAATAAACTCTCCTCAAAATCTCTTGGTCTTTCTAGTTCCACAATGCCGACATATATATCTGAAAGTTTAACAAAGAAGGACCGAAAACTTTATATTTTATCACGTGATACAGCTAAGACAATGAATTACCGTTATTGCTGGACTAATAAGGGCCGAATTTATTTGCGGAAAACTGAAGGTGGCGCTCGGATAGAAATAAAAAATTAAAATGATATTGCAAATCTAAAAAATATAATATGACTAGGTACATTTATAACATTATGCATTACCTTTTTAATTATGATTTCTTGTGAATTGCTTGCATGTCTAACTAAGTGTGTCTCTGGCTTTATGTTTACTAAATTATTCTGTATGTATTCTAAACTACCCACTGTTTACTTTTATAATATACTATTGTATAAACTACTAACACATCAACCCACAAAATATTTACAAACAAATAATATATATATACTCGACTATTTTTATAACCCCACACAAAAAAACATGCACATTCAACTCTCAAACCAAATTATCGCTCTCACAAATTACATAATATTTGCTCTTTGCACACATTCATGGATATATTTAATATGCTTAATTATTCTTATTTTCGAATACAAGTTAAAATCTTGTTTATGCTACCTATTTAAAAACATAACTAAAAGGCGCTGCATTAAATGACCTTGATTAATTAATCTTGATAATACTTCCTTTAATGAAGCAATATTATGTGATTCCGAAAAATGTGCTGATTTGCTTACGTCTTATCATAGTTGTCTCACTGTTTTGTCTCAAAATATTCGTAGCATCAACGCTAATTTTTCGGGACTTTTAACGTTGTTGGAAAGAATTAATTATAGCTGCGACATTATCGTTCTCTCTGAATGCTGACTATCTTTTAATCCTATAATTCCGATTCTCAATGGATACAATCATTATAAAACTTCAAAAAACTACAATAAAAATGACGGTGTTTTGTATACATCAAGTCTTGTTTAGCTAATATTAAAGTAAAAGAACCTATATCAATTGAATGTAACTGTCTGGTGATTACTATAGGTGTAGATCTGGCTATTGTTGCTATATATAGACCACACGCTTTTGTTGATCAATAATTGTTTGTTGATTGTTGAAAATATTGCAAATATATCCATTAAAGAAATATGACTGTAAGAAAAAATTAATGCAGTGGCTTAAGACACTTAATTACGATCAAACTGAATGGACGGCTGTTTAAGATTGATTCTACTTGTGCCAAAAGAGTGGTCAGCTCTTCGAATGTTAGATGGGAGTTACCCATTGTACGCATAATGTGAAATTTTGCCGATTTCACTCCAGCCTCCCAGATGCCGCCAAAATGAGGTGCGTAAGAAGGTGAAAAAATAAACTTTGTGCCTTCATCGCTCGCAAAATCAGAAAGGGATGCCTGGTGATTCTTAAAAAAATAGTTTAATTCCTTTGCTCCTGCCACAAAGTTGCGGCCGTTGTCGCAGAATACTTCTGCTGGCTTTCCTCGTATGGATACAAACCTACGGAAGGTGAGTATAAACGCATCCTTCGTTAGATCGGTTTTGGCCTCTAAATGTATGCACTTATATCTTAGACAAATGAAGAGACAAAGATATGATTTTACTAATTTCGAACCACGGCCCTTTGTATTTAGAGTAAGAAATAGACCTGCAATGTTTATACTAACAGTTCTAAATGGGAAGTTTGAAGTAACACGCTGCAATGGCAAGTTTCCCATTATTGGGTTAATAGTTTTTCCTTGTATGTTTTTCCTTCCGTAGGTTTGTATTCGTCTACACGTATAACATTGACGTATTGTGCGCCGCGCTAGATGTCTACCATTGAGTGTCCAAACAGATTCTCTTATTATTGACAATAATAGTTGTGGGCCAGCATGTAAATTGTATCTATGCTCATATTCAAAAATTAATTTGGTCAAGTGATGAATGTGTGAGTGCATGAAAACGGGATGTTTTTTATCGTAGGCAAATTCTAAAGCATCTAAGCGGCCACCCACTCTAATCACGTTAAACTTGTCATCGAAAAATGGCGATAATGATAAAATATTAGATTTTGTACTGATAGATTTTCCGTTGGCCAACAAATTATATTCTACAGGAAATGACTGCTGTTGAGCTAAGCGACACAAGTGATAAAATTAATTACTTTGTTCCTCAACGGTTAAACTACCAGAAATACTATTATTTGGATTTTTTAAATTATGAATAAAACGTAATATGTATGCAACTGAATGTTTTAATTTTAATAATTTAGAATAGTTTTCAAACAAAATTATACAATTTTGATTAAACTATTAATCAAAATTGTCGAACATGGGCCGAAATTGTGTTATTTTTGGTCTCCGGCAGGTCTTTTGAATTAAATTGTTGTGTTTTGATAACATAGGCCAATTATTCTCTAGCTGGTATAAAAAACTAGGTCCTGACCACCAAAAATTTTTGCTTGCTATTTGATCAGGACTGACACCTCCGGAAATGAGATCTGCTGGATTTAAATCAGTCGGTACATATCGCTACGAAGCTGGGTCTGTATGTTCACTAATTTCGGTAACTCTATTTGCAATAAATATTTTAAGATTTTGATAGCTATTATTGAACCAGTCCAACACCACACTAGAATCACACCAGTGAGTCTCACGTTGTATCTGACATCGCAAAGAAGTCTTAACAGCCTCACATAGCTTGGTGGCTAATAAAGCAGCACAGAGCTCTAGCCTGGGGATTGTAATGGGCTTGATTGGAGCTACCTTAGATTTAGAGCATAGGGGTCTGACAGTAATCTCATTTTTGGAATTTACAGACCGGAGGTAAATGCAAGCTCCGTATGCATGTTGGGAGGTGTCACTACAAGAATGAAGTTCTATTGAGATAGGTTCATCGCATAAAGTGCGCCTTGGAATTTTTAGTCTTAAGAGCGCAGGTAAAGCATGAATAAATTTAGTCCAAGCACTCCTAATGTCAGTTGGCACCCGATCGTCCCAGCCTAGCTTCTCTCGCCATAACTGTTGCAAGAGTATCTTGTTTTGTATAATACATGGGCTTAATAATACCAAAGGATCAAAAATTTTGAACAATGATGACAATATAACCCGTTTAGTAATATTGTTGTCATGAGACGGTAGAGAGCTTTGGATAGAAAAAAAATAATTCATCAGTAGTAGGCTCCCATCCTATTCCCAAAGTGCTAGTTGATTCATTCAGGGTTAAATTATCATCGTTCGTGGAAATTGATGAAAAAATTAAAGGTAAGTTACTTATGTATACTCTTAAATTGAAACAGCCACGTTTGAGTGCTGATGTAACTGCTTGTTGAATATAAATTAAAGTCTGTTCGTCATCGCTACCGGTAATTAAATCATGAACTAGAAAATCATGTTGTATTATAGTTTTTACTCATTCATCTGAGCATTCTTCACCTAGTTGCCAAAGACATCGTGTGCTTAAGTAGCTAGAACTCGCCATGCCATAATATGTAACCGTGTTAAGAATGAGAGTTTTGATAGGCAAAGACTCATCTTCCCTCCATAATATCAGTTGCATATTTCTATTCTGCCGATACATTTTTTTTACGTCGCCGGTTAAGAGATATTTATGTTGACGTGCTCTGATAAGAATGGAAAACAAACTATCTTGTAAATTTGGGCCTACCATAAGAATGTCATTGATGGAATGACCAGATGATGTAGGAGCCGAACCATCAAAGACCACTCTGATCTTTGTTGATTCACTGCTATTTTTAAATACAGCATGATGACATAGAAAATATGAAGGATTTGGTTTAGAAATTGTTGATTCGGTAAGATGTCCTAATTCTTCATATTCTCGTATAAAATTTATGTATTGTAGTTTGACGTCTAGCTGTTTTCTAAATCGTTTTTCTAAAGTCAGTAAGCGGTTTTTGGCGAGAGTATAAGATTCACCCAAACAGTCTGGTAAATCTTTTAAGGGAAAACTGACAGAGAATCTACCTGACTCCAGGCGAAGGGTGTGATTAATAAAATGAGCTTCAAATGCCTTCTCCTTGGGGTTTAAATGACGTTTTAGTGGAACTTCTTCTAGTTCCCAGAATTTGGACATTTGCGTATTGATATTATTGTAATCAAAACCAGAATTTGATAATGTAGCTAAAAGATGACATTGAGTAATATTATTAGATTTATGAAATTAATTTGTATAAGGACCTGAAATTAACCATCCGAATTTGGAACTTCTAAGTTTAGGATTGTTAGGGCCAAGCGTGATTTGCTTGCAGCCTAGAATGTCCCAGAACAGTTCGGTGCCAATGAGTATATCAATAGGCGCAGAGTGGTTAATCGTAGGATCAGCAAGTTTTATATTATTTGGTATGTTTAATTGTTGTATATCAATGTGGAACTTAGGAATATTGCCTGTAAGTTCCTGTAACACAAGAAAAGAATGATTGACCTTGAAAGGTTCAGTTAATGAATGAAGTTGCGCTACATAACTTTCAATGGCTTTATTGGTATGGTTATTTCCAATGCCCACAATATTTATGACATTGTTGCTATATGATTGTAACGATTTTTCTTTGAGAGATTGAGTTATGAAAGATGACTGACTACCGCAGTCCAATAGTGCTCTCACTCGTATAGATTTATTTGTATTTGGATTTGATATTTCGATTATTGCAGTAGACAGTAAAACGTATGTCGCGTTTTGTTGAAAAAAGTTGGCTACGGTTTGTTCCGATATAGTAGCACAGGATGTAGTAACATTCTTATCAGAACCTTTATTACTTGGAAGTGGTATATGCGAAAGAGTGTTATGTCTTTTCTTGCACTCGCGGCATGGACCTAATCTACAATCACGCACACTGTGGCCATAGCGTAGGCAATTTAAACATAACCTTAATTTGGTAACAACAGATAAGCGATCATGTACATTCATAGCTTTAAATTTAGCGCAATCATAAATTCTATGACCACCGCGACAAACTACACACGAGAAAGAATTTGTATTATTATTTTCACTAGTGCAAGCAAAATATTTTGTATGTGGTCGATCATATTTATTAATTGATCCCAATGGACCTGAATTTTATTAATTGTACTACACGAAGTTTGCATTGACTCCAATACATCCGCGCGATCGATTAAAAATTTATGAAATTGTTGCAAATTAGGAATATCACATAGCATGCCACGCCACTCTTCCCATTTAGCTTGAGTTCGGCTGTCTAGTCGCGAACTCATAATATGCACGATCAGAACATCCCACTTATCAGTAGGCTGCCCTAAACTGGCTAACGCACGCAAATTTTTTGTGACGTGATCAACCATAAATCAAAGTAACATAACTGATTCTCGTGATAATCTTTGAAGATTTAATAAAGAATTTAAATGGTGATTGATAAGTTGCCGTTTGTTGTTATACCGTTCATACAATAAATTCCAGGCAGTTATGTAATAGCACTTGATATTTCCAAATTCGAAATGATACGAGATGCATCGCCCTCTAAATAAGAAGTTAGGTAATGGAATTTGTGTATAGGTGGGATACGCTCGTTATTATGAATAAGCGATAAAAATGTGTCACGGAATTCGAGCCAGTGAAAGTACGCTCCGTCAAATTTCGCGTTTTGAATTTGTGGCAATTTAAAATTAACCTCGCGATGTTCATTACAATCAGCTGAAGAACAGCTACCACAAATAGGTTCGTTATTGCAGTCCTTATTAGAAATTTTCGATTGGCACCTCTTTATAATATTTTGAGCAATAGCAATTTTCGAAAAAAACAATTGTTCAATATTGTCCCGTTCATCAATTTCGCTATCTAAGTTATTTGAGTTTAACACCTCTATCTGATTTTGCAAGTCATCAAATTTATTTAATAACGATTCAAATTTGTTAAGTTTTAACGTTAATTCCGATAATTCGATTGCGGTTAAATTTTCTCTTGATGATAAATTAGCCAAGTAATTTTTAAATTTCGTAATTTTACTAGCAAATCTTGCAAATTTTGCATATCTTTAGTACTTGTTTCAGTAGCCAAATCTTTAATTTTGTTCATATTTTAAAGTTAAAATTGCAAGTATAAATATATTTAAAAAAAAATGAAAATTTAACCTAAAAAGTTTGAGTTTAATTTTAATATCTTAAATCTGTTTCATTAAATATGTAAAGAAATAAATAAATAATATTATGATGAAGGACAATAAAAAATAAAAACAGAATTTTTAGCTCACCTTCCCCTCTTGGCGTCACCTGGTAGGCAGACGTAGCAATTGTTGCAATTGTTGCTCAGCAACGGTAATGTACGACCACAGCTCGTACCCTGGAATGTTCGGCAAATCGTGGTGAAAAGTCTAGAAATAATATCTATGAAGGGGAGATAATATGTACGGAACAAAACGATAAAATTGTTCGTAATGAACAAAGAAATGTAATGATATGAAAGTACCCACTTTGGAAAAAAAAATATTGAAAATCGTTACTATGTGTAAAATATGACAATTATATTGTTGAATTTAGTATATAAGTATTTAAAATATAACGTAATGTATTGCAAATAAACACACAAGTAGAAATAAGGATAACATGGAAATTTAGAGTTGTATAATAGACAGGAATTTATAGGAAGACACTTAGCTGCATTGGTCTGGCTGCGGAGCGACGCTGATGGCTGATCACTGTCCGGCGATGACTGCAATGGCTTATTCTTCGAAATATCCCGTGGTAAAAAGTTTTTGAGACGATAGGTGGCTGCGGTTTAATAATTGACCGGCGTCCTAACCGTCTTGAAAAATCGTCTTATTTCTTGATATATTGTCCTGTCACGGTCGCAAATTTTTTTATGTCTCGTACTGGACATAAATGCAAACACGGAGTCTGATTAAATATTTATTATATATTTGTAGGTTCACAATTTAGATATAAAAATAGGTGAGAGCGACTTTCTCGGTAATACGGATGAATGTTTTGTGTGTTGAGGTGGGGGGGACAAAAATGACACTTGACGTATAATGTTCAATAAAACGTTAGGCGCAGACATTATTAATTATAGGATCCCAAACAGATGATAGCACCCGTAGAATACTATAATACGTACACAAGTAACACCCATCCATCTTCTTTCCCTTCTATTTCCTTGACCATCCTACTACTGCCTACCTCTCTCTCTTTTCCGCGCAGTTATAATGCATACACGCAGCGATATGTAATTTTTACATGGAACCTCTGAGTAACAACAGCCTGTGGTCTTAGCAACGTTTCATAAGTGGCAGAGCTTCGCCGCAGCTATCTTATTGCTTTAGCACGAGCCCGTATGGTGAGTGTAGAGAAGTGGAGACCCATTTTACTGGCAAGGCAATCCATTTTAGTCCTAACAGGTGACAATCATCTGCAGTTTGATTCTTAATCGAAGATAGATCAAGATGTCTATGGGCCACAAAATCCACTTACCACTACGTAAACTGTGTGCTCGTTTGTCACCTTTCTATAAAAATGCCAATGAAATTATTAATTGCCAATTTGAATGTTGATTTACCATGTGCTCGACAATACAAAGTAAACATAATAATTACACACAATGTCACACAAACACAAAATTGACAAGACTAAATAATTAATATACCAGCATTTCTGAGGAGTTAAAAAAAAAACTATTTCGAAGACATTGAAAATGAAATCAAATAAAACACTTTCAGTAATTTATTAGGACATATTTATTAGTAACTTTAACTTTTAACTTTAAACCGTTATTAGTTGACAGGTAGACACGGAAGCTTTGTTTGTTAATTAGGAGAGTACACTTACTTCGTAACCCGGGTAGAGCCCCGCCGGCACCAATGATATTGTTAATTGAAATTTTAAGTGCTGATTTACGGCGCGCTCGGCGGTGAAGGACAACATCGTGGGGAAACCTGCAAGAACTAATACTTTAAATAATACCCCACATAATAACAATAATTTACTAGACTCACATTTTGACAAATTACACTGGTGTATAGTACATATTTAATTACAAAATTACATTTCGAAGCAGTTAACTGCCATAGTAGTATAAACTGTGTTACAGCCGTTAGCGTTTTCCACGCTGAGTAGTGTAAAATATAAAAGCTTAGGAAAGGCTCTAAAATGGGCTATAATCAGTACTTAATGTTGCTCTTCGAACTGCTTCCAGTCTCCTTGGCTTAATCCTTATCAAGTTGTCAATAAAACCTTGAGAAATTGCGTTCCATTCTTCCTGTAATGTGTTTTAAGATGCCTCAAATTAGCGGGGAAAGGATTTGTATATTATAGTCTGCCTACACGCACTGCCACAGCAACCAGTTTGTCACCCTATCCTATAAAAAAAGGGGGTAGCTTTACTTTACTAATAAACATTCTGGAAAATACTCAAACTGGCCTTAACCTATACCTGAACAGGTCGATGAAATTTCTTCAGCTTTACTTTATATAGGTGGGTTCTGTACATTAGGATGTTTAAAAATGCCCTAGAAGTTTTCTTTATGTTTTAACCACTTAAAAAAAGGAGGAGTTACTCAATTCGTCGCTATTTTTTATGTGTGTTACCTCAGATCATTCTTCTAAGTGAACCGATTTCGATGATTCTTTTTTAATTTCGAAGCTGTTGCTCCTCATGTGGTCCCATATCTGACCAGTACTTAGTTTTTGGAATATTCTTAATAATGCATATTTAATTAGCTTCGACTACATTGATGATGTTATCACTTTGTTTATATTGAAGTCGGTTGTAAAATTTTTTTTTTAATTTTACCACTTCTTTATATACACATATCTAACAGATATGTTGTTCCAGTCAATAAAGTCAACGAACTTAATTTGTGACCTTGATCCGTTCTGAATAAACCTGTCGCACCAAAACTGTACCTAATAATTTATTCACACATAAACCTTCATTAAACCGCAAACTTGGCACTCAATTACGATCTAGGTGCGCCATTCTGATCCTTCCAAAATACCGTTCACTTAATAAGCGCTTAAATTAAGATGTTATAGTATATTACTTAAAGTTCAATTTCATTTGGCAATTGAGAACAGTCATGTGCCGTCTATATATCGATTATCGAGAGACCGACTAACGATGTCACTTAC